TTTTGCCTGTAAAAATAAAAGTTTTTTTTTAATGTGGAAAATAAACCTTTTTCTGACTGCAAAACTGAAACCTTTTTGACTGCAAAAACAAAACACTTTCGACTGCAAAAATAAGTTGTTGTTTTTTTACTGCAAAAATAAAATCTTGTGGACTACAAAAACGAGACCTTTTGGATTCTAACATCTTCAACAAAATCTCTCTCTTTTTTTTATTACTTGTTTCACAGGCCCAGAAGGAAGAACTACAAATTCTGCTGCAGAAATCCCAAGACAAGACATTAGCTGTCGATTCCCTGCAGCAGAATTTGGCTACGGAAAACCAACGTTTGGCCGAAGCCTTGAAGAGGGAGACGGCTGCCCTTTCGGCTGCCCGGGGCGAACTCCAGCTTCTTCGGGAAAAGGTCCGTAAGCTGGACACGCCGGCCGATGCCAAATCCCGCCAGCATGCCGGAGAAGAACCGGTCTCTCGTCGCCCTGATTTTCAGGAGAAGGAACTCCACCGTCTGCGTTCCTTGCTGGGTTCGGTCCGTCAGGATTTGGGAAAGCTGATACAAAAAAACCCCCTGGAGGAATTGAAAAACCTGGAGCAGAGGCTGGGCAAGGAGGTAGACCTCAGTGAGGTTGAGAAAGAACCCCGGACGCCGTGGAAAGAGAGCGCCAAAGCGAGGCAGGGCAGAGCCAAACCGTGGCAGAAGAAACACCAAGGGGAGGAGAAGTTTCGGCAGGAGGACCGGGGGGAGGACCCCAAAGTAGTCAATGGGAAAGGGCCGCATCCTCCCAAGAAGCACCAAACAAAGACCCCCAAAGGAGGAGACTACCAGCGGGGGTCCCGCAAAGCCAGGAAACCGATGGAGCCCCAGGAATTGTGGGAGATGCTCGCCAAGCATCCGTTCCCCGCCCCGCAAGGTTGTTCTGGGGTCGCCGAATGCGCCCGCCGAGATGGTTTGGCCCCCGTCCAGAAAGGCCCCTTCCTCAAACTGGTGCAAAATTATCTCTCCGGACTGGGCTGGGGGAGATACGCCAGCGAGTTGGTCCCGGTGCTGGAAGGGTTTTTCGGCGCCGACGGGCTCTTTGCCCACGATCGGATCGGCTTTGCCGACTTTTTGGATAAAACCGAAGACGCCCTGGAAGAACTGGCGCGGCACTTGGGAGTGAGCGATGACGGGGTGGACGATTTCGAGGACACCATGCTGAAGCAGCTGGGGGCAGCCCCCGGACGCAGGTGAGGAAGAGGAGGGGGACAGGAAGCATCGCAGGCAGGAAAAGGCTGGGGGAGACACTGTCGTATTTCAGGGGGTGGCTAATGGCTTTCCCACGCAAGAAGGAAGCTTGCTTGGAAGACTTTTAAGCTTCTAGTCCTCATGGCGGCCGAGCAAACCCGAATGTGTAAAGGTGGAGTCGCTCAAGGGGAGATTAATTTAGAGGCAGTGTGTTCATTTCCCCCTTACGAGACCCCTTTCCCCCCTCAATAGGTACCTATAATATCATCCTCAACTTTCAACAATTTATTTAGTACACTNGCTAAGAAGGTGCTGCCCACTAAGAAGGTGCTGCCCGCTAAGAAGGCCGCGGAGAAGGCTGCCCAAATTCCTCCAAAGGTTTTAGACACAATAGATGACGCAGCGGAAAAGGAGCAGGATCGCCCCCTTGTGGACGGAGTTGTTGCTTGCAGCGCTTCCCAGCCGTTGCAACCTGTAAGGGAGGCAGGTGAGACGCCCAGCCCGTCTCGTCCACCAGATGGCGCCAGAGAGGAAGTTTCTCAGCCGCAGCTCCCGGTGATGGAGCCCGCTCAGCCTTCGTCCCTTCCTCCTGCTTCGACTCCGCTTCCGCCGGAAAGTCCTTCGGGGGAGCCGGCTGCTAAGGCCTTACAAGTAGCTGCCACAGTCTCTCCCAAAGAGCACCTCCCGGCTATAGAGCCTCCCAAGAAGCCGGTGAGTGGGGAAAAGGCAGATCTGTCCGCCCCCAAGCCTGGCGTGGGCAAGGGATTCCCCTCCACGGCCAAGCCGGTCCCGGCCAGAGCCTCGCCCATGATCCGGGCCAAGGCGCCGCTCGCTAAGAAGGTGCTGCCCGCTAAGAAGGCACTGCCCGCTAAGAAGGCCGCCCAAATTCCCCCAAAGGCTTTAGACCCAGTATGCACCACAGGGGGAAAGGAGCAGGAGCGCCCCCTTGTGGACGGAGCTGCTGCTTGCAGCGCTTCCCAGCCCGCTCAGCCTTCATCCCTTCCTCCTGCTTCGACTCCGCTCCCACCAGAAAGTCCTTCGGAAGAGCCAGCTGCTAAGAGGGCAAAGACTGCCACCCCAGAGGTTGCCGTCCCTCCTGCAGCGGCCGGACTCTGTCCAAAGAAGGCCCAGGAGCCTGGCATGCAAAACAAACAGCCGCCGGCCTCTGCAGCCTCCGACAGCGCCTTACACCAGGGGCAGGCTACTGCAGCTGATGATCCAACGCTTCCTTCTACTGCCTCTTCCATGGACATCCTGAAATCGGTGGTTGAGGGACCTAAAGACTTGCCACTGTCTGGGGACAAAGGAGGTACTCCAGACACACCTACCTTCAGCGGTCTCTTCTGTCCTGGCTTGTTTAAGACGCTTCTCCAGAAAGCCAAGGCCACCGCTCGGATAGTAGTGGATCCAGCCCCCTCAGATCCAGCCTTATCTGACCCCAATAATTTGTTGTTCTCAGAGCCCGCCACAGAGAAGGAGGAGATCCCCTGCCCAAAATTGTTTTTGGCTGTCGTCCAGCGACAATGGGAAAAACCAAGCGCGTCTCCAAACCCGGGCGCAAATGACAGACGGTTCTATAATATGACCCCCAACCTCATGTCTGCATTAAGAGTTCCAATAATCGACGGACCAGTGGTGTCCTTAGTTGGTAACATTCTGGGCGGTAATCCGGAAGATAACTTGAAACCAGAAGACAGGAGAATGGAACTGACGCTCCGCAAAGCCCATCAGATGGGTTCCTGGGCGGTTAAGTCAGCATTGGCTGCATCCTTCTTCAATAGAACTTCCTTGCTCTGGCTCAAAGAGATTCAAGCCAGAATCCCAGCCACCGACCTCCAGACTCACGAGGACCTCAACAACCTGATAGCAGCGGCAGAATTCTCTGCAGATGCCACCCTGCACTCGGCCAAGTTCGCTTCCAAGACCATCGGCAACTCCGTGGCAGCCCGACGACTGTTGTGGCTCCGTTACTGGCAGACACAACCCAAGTACAAGTGGAAGTTGGCCGCTTCCCCCTTCAAAGGAGACAAGCTATTCGGAGAGGCCTTAGAGCCTTTACTCAAGGAGACCAAAGACAAAAAGAAAATCCTACCCGCTACGTTCAAAACCTCTGACCACAAATCCTCGTCCAACGTTCAGAAGCCTTCCTTCAAAGGAGGGAACAACGCACGCAGCTTCTCACAACAAAAGAGGTCATACTTCCAGCGACCTAATCGCCAATCCGATAGGGCCGATAGATATAAAGACAGGAGCAGGCAGCAGTTCCAATCCAAACAGCGATTTCGAGACAACAGAAGTCGGCCCTTCGATGGCTTTTCTAGAGATCTGCATAGCCAACCTTCCCAGACCCAACCCTCCAAAAGACAAACAGTGGCTGGGGATTATAGTCCCCAAAGATTCAAAGAGATGAAGAGCGATTCTCGAGTTAAAAAGACTCAACAAGCATCTGGTATACAAGAGATTAAAAATCCAGTCCATACTGGACAGNATCCGTTTCCAATTGGTGCGAGGGAGGCGGGAGCGCGCGGATGAGACGTTGGGGTCCGGGCGAGACCATCCGGGCGGGGGTGACCGCAGGGAAAGTTGCTCCCTCCGCCGTGTCCGAAGATGCTGCTGCTGCTGCTTTCTCAGCGGGAAGCGAAAATCGGGCAAAGATTTCGTGGCCGAAGAAATGCAAACCCCCGTCAAATAAAAATAAATAAAAATGAATTTTACAAAAAGAAAGGGGATCCGTGTGGGGAAAAAAATGGAGGAATTGCATGTCGGGAGGAAAGAGGCGGGCCTTCTGAGTGATGGACGGGATGGGTGGCTGCCTACCAAGCCCCCCTCCCCACTCCGCGTTCCTCTACAAGGCTGGCACTGATTGGGCAATGCAGAGTAGATGACCTCTGACCTTCCATTCCCTCCTCTTCCTTAGACAGGCAGCCAATCGAAACTCCTTCCCTCGTTTCCCCCCCCCCTTCAGACTCGCTGAGGAGAACCAGAGATACCCTCGGCTTCTCCAGGACAGGCGAGCTCCCCGGCCTTTCTCCGGCTGCCTAGCCCACCGAGCCCCGGTCCCTTTAGAAGGGCTTCCCTTGGGCCTGCGGTGGGCGCGGGAGTCTCTGCCCGGAGTTCCGGTGCAAACTCTCCAGTCGGCCCTCCAACCAGCCGCCTCGGCCTCTCCCGGCCATGGAGCCTCCCAAGGAGCCGGTGAGTGGCGGAGGGCTGGATCTGGCCGCCCCCAAGCCTGGCGTGGGTAAGGGATCCCCCTCCAAGCCCAAGCCGGCCCCGGCCAGAGCCTCGCCCAACACCCGGGCCAAGGCGCCGCTCGCTAAGAAGGCGCCGCCCGCTAAGAATGCCCCGAAGGCCGCGAAGAAGGCCGCCCAAATTCCCCCCAAGGCTGTAGATACAGTAGACGCCGCAGGGGAAAAGGAGCAGGAGCGCCCCCTTGTGGACGGAGCTGCCGCTTGCAGCACTTCCCAGCCGTTGCAACCCGTAACGGAGGCAGGTGAGACGCCTATCCCGTCTCGTCCACCAGATGGCGCCAGAGAGGAAATTTCTCAGCCGCAGCTCCCAGTGATGGAGCCCGCTCAGCCTTCGTCCCTTCCTCCTGCTTCGACTCCTTCGGGGGAGCCGGCTGCTAAGGCCTTACAAGTAGCCGCCACAGTCTCTCCCAAGGAGCACCTCCCGGCTATGGAGCCTCCCAAGACGCCGGTGAGTGGGGAAAAGGTGGATCTGTCCGCCCCCAAGCCTGGCGTGGGCACGGGATCCCCCTCCACCCCCAAGCCAGCGCCAGCCAAAGTCTCGCCCAAGACCCGGGCCAAGGCGCTACCCGCTAAGAAGGTGCTGCCCGCTAAGAAGGTGCTGCCCACTAAGAAGGTGCTGCCCGCTAAGAAGGT